CCGTGACCACTTGTACATGATGAAAAGTCGTTCGAAATTTCGCGTCACCGAATACACCGTTTGCGACTGAAAAAGGAAGACGAAGCGAAAAAAGATACAAAAGACTTTAAGAAAAAAAGAAAGAAAGAAAGAAAGAAGAAATAGAACCTGAAAAGAAACAAAAAGTATTATTTGTGGGGACGTTGCGTAAAAATTCTTACAAAAGATTTCTTCTCAGTGACGACGTGTACATGTATTCTCTTCGTCTCGTCTCGAAGTCATAACGACGACGCTGCGCGATTTCTAGGAAGTATTTAAAGAGCACCACGGTTAATAGTCGAGGATAGAATCGATGGAGGAACTGGAATATTTTGCGAAAACTTTTGGCTTTTCTTTTCGAACGACGCGGGGATGGAAGATATATTATTCTTCGTCGATTACGCAATGTGTCTACGAATCCTTTCGTGTGTGCGTGTAGAGCGAATGTACAGGATCTACAAGCAAAGGAAAACCGGACAAAATTTCTGTTTCGGATCTACCCACTACCGGTAATACCCTGAATGGCATATTCTCGTAAACGTTTCTTTTGATTCGCTTGTACGAGAGTGAAAGGGAGAGAGAGACAGAGAGAAAGAGAGAAAGAACGAAAGAAAGAAAGAGAGGGAGAGAAAGAGAGTGAGAGAGGGTGAGAGTGAGAGAGCAAGAGATCGAGCGTAGATGAACGTTTAAACGCAAGAGGAGAGGCAAGCGTATGACTTAAATCAGCAGAGGGAGCGGATATTTCGAGAAACTTTCGTTTACGCATTTTGATATATCTGTGAACAGATGAAGAGGAAAAAAAAAGAACAAAGATACTTATATTACATACATAAGGTGTAAGTGAAGAAAAAAAAGCATCTAATACGCTATTATTGATATAGGACACAAAGTAAAGTAAATATATATATGAGACAAAAAAGGTATATATATACATAAATTGATATATTGACGCTATATAAGGTTGCTGCTGGACGCGTTTTACTTTTGAAGGAAGGTGATGCGCAGTTTTCCGTTCAAACGTCGTCGAGGACGAAACAAAAGTTCACGGGAAGAGATTAAGTTAGACAAAAGTGTAAGGACCCTAGAGTCGAAGATAAAGTAGCTCTTAGAATTTTTATCGAGGCAACGTAAGGACGGACGGGCGTGACGCTAGTATACCACTTTCCAGAGAGAATCGACAGAGAGAGAGAGAGAGAGAGAGAGAGAGAAAGAGAGGGAGAGAAAGAGAGAGAAAGAGAGTGCGTGAAAGAGAAAGAGAGTGAAAGAGAAAGAAAGTGAGCGAAAAAAAGAGAGAGAGAAAGAGAGAGAGAAAGAGAGATTGAGTGAGAGGAAGAAAACCTGCCCATTTGTCCTCGCGGCTTCTGCGTTTCGCTCGCTTATCGATCGGTCTCGCGGGTTTTCCGGTCTCTCGATCCGTCTCGGCGCGTCCATCTTTTCCGATTCGTTGCTCGGAACGCTCGGGAATCCAAAAAATACTCGCGGCACGCAAGACGGATCGAAGGCTAATAGGAAAATGTTGCGTCGAGTGTTGGTAACTTTGCGAAACGCGCTAGCTTATCTGCGAATCGCGCGATCGAAGAGAGAACCGTGAAAGGTTTTCCGCGAGCGAGCGAGCGAGGGTAACGTATAGAGCCGCGAGGTGGGGAACACAGCCGCAGCCATAGCGAACCCGCATAAATATTTCAACACCTTGATACTCGAGAAGTTAATTCGTTGTGTGTTTACCGGAATACTTTTTTCCCCGAACTAGAGACAGGAAAAGTAATCTCCGACGCGTACATTGCTTACGCGTTCCCGCGCGGGTAACGCGGCGCACAGTAAGTTCGTTGCTCGTACTGCTAGCCGCGGTACCAAAGGATTCGGAACGACGGAGCAGTGCAACAAGCTCGAGAGTATCACGGCGTTCGAATATCAAGGCGGCCGATTATTTGCAGAAATATCCGAACGTTCGTTCCACTTCGAGAACCCGTGAAACAGGATCTGAAATGTATCACGCACGCGCCGAACTCTTTCCTTTATTTTCGCCTTAGCTTCGAGGTGTAACATCGTGTTATAATTAATGGTCGACCGACATACACAGCCACACTTAATCCCACGAAGATGGAAGAAAAAGGTAAAGATACCGAGGAGAAGGATCCGCCAACAAAACTGTATGAATAAAGCGATAAACGAAGCGTAGTAGTCCCGTATCCGCGATTTACGACTAGTTTACAGGATGTGTAACACGTAACGGCATTCACCGGCGGGAGTGAAGGATAGACGGAGGAGGGGGAGAGACACTGAGAGAATGCGAGGGAATGAGAGGGAATTAAAAGGACGTTACCGGCAGCGTAAGAAGAAACGCGTCGCACCGTGTAAAAGGGGGGAAAGAAAGAACACGTCCGACTCCCGTGTTTTCCATTTCTCCGCCGCGGTAACGGCCGAACGTTTCGAGGATAAATACTAGGTGGCATCCTAATTTACAGGAACTAGTAGTCGAGCAATAGAACCGCACATTTTTCAGAACCTGATTATTTAATCGTACACACCCGGTCGTGAGCCGATATTCAATAAACACGACACACGCACCTAACACTTGTACGGTAACATACATACGTACACGTACACATACATATATACATACATACAAAGATACACACACGTATACACATTCAGGGAGATAATGCGAGCATAGATGGTAACAAGAAGTCGATTATGAAACATAAAAACTAATCGACTACACGAAAGACGGGAGACATGGTCTTTGCGATATTTCGTTCGGAAGGACACGGTTCAAATCTGAAATCCTCAACAGTGAAAACTACACATCCGAGCCGTGAAAGTATCAAAACTCTGATAAGGGGAGAGACGTTGGTCGTTCAAGGTCACTCGCATCACCTTGATCCCCACTTTATGGTACCGCCACGTGCCCGGCTAAACGGTACGGTGGGGATGGCCTGTATATGAGCTTGGAGCGACCAAATTCGTTGACCCTTCCTTTGATTGCGAGAGCAGGTAATAGATATACAAAAGAAGTATTAGGCTGCGACCACATACTGGGCGGTTAGTAGTAAGCGTCAAGATTTCACCGTTCATTTATATGTTCATCCTCCTTCATCCTCCTTCATATTCCGATCGATATCGCCGGTCCGTATGTGGTCGCGGCCTCAGAAGAATCCGGAAAGTGGTGGAGAAGAGTGAGGGTACATACTAACGCGGGATAATATAAAAAGAGAATACACGCATTCTTGGAACAAGCACACCACAGAAATACACACGATACGCTATGCTACGCGACAGAGACAGACACAACCGTGCGTTCACTGTAAATAGAGAAAATGCAACATTAATTATACAGCAAAGTTCATCTTTATTATCGTAACCCTGTAATATATTTATTTGTCCGGTCGTGAAGATACTTTATGTAGTTGAATGATAACGAGGCCTCTGTTTCATTTGAATCTGCCGCTGAAGCGCGCCAAAGGGGCATTGGTCGCGCACAATGAGAGGCGTAAACGCGTTCTCCTTTTGGTACGATAACAAATATTTTTGAAAACGCTTGCAAATGAAATTCTGGAGCGCACGGCCTCTCCGAGCAATGCCTCGCGAGTATTAGAAGGAAGAAGATCGAAACAGGGAAATTCCAAGCTTTCGCGATCGAGGCTGATCCGTAGTCCATTTCAGACCAGCCCTTACCTCAAAATTTTTAGCTACCCGTCGAATTAGTTTCGTAATTTCTACGTTACGTTTCTGTAGAGCATTTCAGCCTCGTTCGCGTGAATAGACGAAGCCAGAGTATAAAATCTGTCTTCGTTTCCGCCTGTAATTTCGACGGATCGATTCGTTCGAAATCGTCGCGGCCTATAGAAAGACGCTCGCTGTCCAAGGACGACGACCAGCGCCGCGTTTCTTAGCAGATGGCGATAGTTTATAGTTTACTATTGTTTCTATTTTTACGTTAAACAAAGTATTTCTTTTGAGTAGATAGTCAAGAATTGATTAAAATCGACACACAATCCATATGCGAATAATTGCGCGCGTGTCTTTAACCGGAGACGCATCTGAAATAATATGTATGTACCCGTGACGAATCGCGAATCAACGTTTGTTTTCCGTTTCATTCCGAAATACCTTGGGATACGCCAAGGTTTTCGAGAGATAGTTTTACTTCTTAATCACGGATGCAAAACAAAACCTTGTCAACCATTACAAATTCCTCTTTTATTTATTACCGATTAGCATGTAAGATGACGTTCTACCGACATATGCTATAATTATAAATACACCCTATATATAGTGGAGTAAGCGTTACATTACCTACCTACCTACCTGCCTACCTACCTACCTATACCTACCTACCACCTACCAACTTACCTACCTACCTACCTACCTACCTACCTACCTACCTGCCTACCTACCTACCTACCTACCTACCTACCTACCTACCTATCCGTGCTTGACGGGTGAACAACAGATGAATCACGCAATCATACATTTAAGTTGCTATTTGGCACGTATACCTAAGTAATATACTAACATAAACAGTATGCAATAATAAATATGAGAAATTAAACACGATCTCTTTCACTAAATCGTTCGAACTATCCTCTCCTTTGCGTGTTCCGTATCTTGCTGCACGCGATCGAATATCGGACTATCGAAAGTCAAAGGGATAATGAATTTCTATTGGTCGAAGGGACGTGGAAGACAAATATAGAAAGTTTATTTAAAAAATCGTCTTTCCTGAAAACAGTTTTTATTTACATTTTCCGATAAATAAATTAATCGATTCTGCGTTACTAACGCAATGTTAAAACTCTGCATATAATCGTATAAAGACAATAGAATTAATGGGCTGACAAATGTGACAAAGACATGGAAGTAGTAAGACAGAGTAGCTTTATAGTTATCTCCTTCAAACTTAACATCCCAATCTCATCGAATCTTTAGAGCTTCTCACCTGGCAATACGCACCCTTCATCAGTAAAGTTTTAAAGATGAAAACTCATGCTTTGCCACCAGTTTGAATATTATTTCTATTAATCTCCTGCTGCACGGCCGCCTGTGCCGGCTGCGAGTTTAATTGATTATGTTGCTGTGATGCCGCATTGCCTGGCACACTTTGTGGTACTTGATGCACGGGATTCTGCTGCTGATTAACTCCTTGAGGCTGAACCGGAAGTTGTCCTTGGGAATGAACCGGAAGTTGTCCTTGAGGCTGAACCGGAATTTGTCCCTGAGGCTGAATTGGAATTTGTCCTTGAGGTTGCTGGACCGGTATTGATCCATGCAATTGCTGTGGGGGCATTGGTTGATATTGCTGGTTCAAGTGTGCTTGACCTTGAAATTGTTGCTGCCCTGATAACTGTGGATGATACTGTTGAGGCATTTGACCATGATTTAATTGCACTGGTACATGATTAGGATATTGTTGCTGAGGAACCCCCATAGGCTGTTGTTGATGGTACTGTGGATGTTCTTGGAACTGCTGCTGGGGATGCTGAAAATCCTGTTAATTTTAATAAATATATTTTCCTTTTTTATAACACGGGTTTTTGGAAACATTACTAGTAACATTACAATATTTTACCATTTCATGTTGTACTGGTATGCCACCTTGGTGTTGCGGTAGCTAATAACAGCAACAGAAAGTGCAAAAGTATTATTAATAAACTACTCAAACAGTTCCTATTAAATAAAGAAATCTTTACAAACGAACATTATTTGATGTAACTTATTATCGCTGTTAATTCTTTAACTCGTTAGTTTATTTCATTTGTTTCAATTATTACTATACTTAACTTAAAAGTAAGTAGGTTATACAAGTAGTTAGTCGAACTCGTGTTATAAAAATGTCAAAAACTTGAAATGTACAATCTTGAAGTATTTATAATTTATGAAAAATTAATTTTTTTTACAATTCAGTACATTCTTAGATACTTACCATCATTCCTTGAGCAACCATCTTTTGGATCTCTTCTTGCTTATGCCTTTCAAAAGCTTGATACTCTTCTTGAGTAAAAATTTGTTCCTCGTCCAATCCTTGCCATCCCTCGTCTCGTTGAAAATCTGGTTTCTTAGTTTGCTCTAGAAATTCTTCGTAACTGAAATAATATAGTAAAATAAAAAAACTTTGTTTATGATAAATAAAAGATTTATGTATATACCTGATAAGGGAGTCTTTATTAAGATCGGCTTCATGAAAAACGTGTTCTCTCATTCTTTCCATCTCTTCCGCACGCTTTACGAGTTCCTCTCCTGATGCGCCTTGAACATAAATCTTATCTAATTCTTTAAAAAATAGTGCTTTAACTTCATCTTGATCCCACACTCCATTACCATCAATATCTGAAACATTCGTAAACTAATGTTAAAGAACAGTTAATTTAATGTAAATTATGAAATAATAATTAATAAGTCATATATTACCATGCATATAGAAAAACGTTTTAGGATTAAAATCATCAGGATTCATATGATCTTGTGCTTCCCATACTTCTTCCAGTTGCTGTTTACTACCTGGATGATGTATCTATAAATAAAAATCCTATTAAGAATAGACTGACCTATATAAATTATATAAACAATTACAATTAACTTACAGGCTTATGTTTTTTGTGTTTCTCTTTAAGTTCCAATTGTTCTTGTTCGTACTTATGTCGTTCTGCATCACTCATATCTATACCAAAAACAGACAGCATATTATATAAAAAGTAATATTTAGAGAACTAAAATAATATAGAAAACATCTGACTTGTTACTACAATATACTTTTACGTTTTAATTGTTCCTGTTCTTCAAATTTCACTTCCATTTCATGCTGTTTGAATTCCTCTCTCCTTTTTCTATCGGCCTCTGCTAAATCTTTTGTAGTCTGTGTCATGCATCAAAAACTACATTATTTTCATTTATAACAACCAATATTATTATACGATAAGTAATACATTACCTTTGCAATTAATTTCTTTAAATCTTGTATTTCAAATGAACGTGTATTAGTATGATCCAGATGTTCAGCTATTTTCAGATGATCAACGTCTAAACCATTCTTCAATTCATTCTCTTTTGTTGCAAGGTGTCTTAATCTTTCTAATTCTGTTCTCTTTATCTCATCTAATCTTGATCTAACATTATGACTCACAAATTGTAGTTGATCAGCTATTTTCCCTGTCTAATGAAATTAGCATTTACACATAAATAGAATCTTAAGATTCTTTTTTTATACTTTTTTTGTTGGAAAAATACTATAAAGTCTGAACTTACGTGTATGTCTGATTGGTTTGCATTTTCCAACTTTGCCCGAAACTCTGGGTCAGTCTCTAATACTCCAATCACTTCCATCAGGTACCTACGATACTCCATAATGTCTCCCTATGTATACAATACATTCTATAATTTTTGTTAAACAAATTATAAACTCAACCTTGTAGAAAGATCATACCATTTCATCCATGTCTTCTACTTCATTTTCGTTAGTGTGTTCTCCATCCTTCTTCTTCTGGTTTACAGGTGGTGCAACAACATATTGCACCATTGCACATGTCAAAATAAATATCAGGAAGTACTGCATTTTTCACAATAAAATGCAGATTTCAATAGCTGAAAGCAATGATAAAATTCAGTTAAAACTTTCACTGATTGTAAGCACTTTCTTTTTTCAAATTGAATGCACTTTCACTGCGCACAAGTAAATAATGAACCGCTGATTAAATAAGTAAATTAAACGAATTAACGAGAAGATTCGAGAAAAAACGGGAGAATACGATTGTATGCTCCATAAACACTGTTGCAAGAGGTCGAATACGTGTCAATGATTGCAACAGCTGAGTGACCGACTAAAACATTAGAAACATTCGAAACAGTAATCGTTAACCCTACGTTATTCTACGCGTGTCACAGTTGTTGCACGAGCGTAAAAATCACGACATCTTTCGAACAAACGGAATTGAATATTGAATAAATAACGAAACAAATACTCACAATTTCTAAGTCAAACAGGCGGAATGAGGTCACGTACAAAAAAAATACATATACAGAGAATTCTTTTTAATATCGCGGTTTACCGTTACGTCCGTAAGTCTCGGTGAAAGTAGCGGAGATATGTAACAAATTTTCACTCGACGCAACAAGAAAAAACTGGCCGTTCTTGCTTCAAATCTAATCAATGAAAATACGCGGAACTTGCTGCACAAGTAAGTAACCAGAATCTCATCTAATCGTGCGTATAGGAGAATTAGCCGGGAGATAAGTACATTAGGAACAAATAATATTTATCAGGATAAGACGGTAGATAAACTGGCCGAAAATATTTGTTAACGGTATACTCGCGACTAATTGCGCCGATCAACATCGACAGATGGGTGCGACATTTGTTTCGGAAACGAACAGTGACGTGTACCTCGCACGCAGGATTTTCACTGATACGGAGAAAGATCCATGGGAGTTCCCCACTTGACGACTCGCTGCTGCTGACGACGATCACCGATGCCAGTAATGGATATCGCGTGACGTCACAGCCACGATAGAAATTTTTGCAGACACGCGCGAACAAATGAACAAAAATGTGAGATTAATATGCAGTAATTGGTACCGGTCAGTACCGATTGGTACTGATTTATTCACGATACACGGTCTCGGCTGTTCGTCGGCATTTCGTGAATTCGCAATCGGAGATGTCGCGTTGTCGATGATACGCTGTTCCTCGGCTAGATGGCAGCAGTAATACATAAAAGATGTTTCCATTGGACTTCTTTATATTCATTCAAAATTCATTCACAATTTAAAATTGAAATACAGAAATAAATTATAAATGTGTTCGTAGACTGCACAATCAAATATGACGAAACAAAATGATTAAATAAGTTAAATGGATTTGCATGAAAATTGATGAATTTTCTCGGACACAGAAGCACTTTGTTCTCTTTTAATCGAATACTCAAAAGTGCGTTTCCGCTTTTCTATCGTTTGTTGCATCCGTCGTATTAACACTCAGTCTTTGAGATCTTGATTTTTGAAGAATGAAACAATTTGTAAAAACATCAATATTTCAGTACGATAGTGGCAATGATGAGTTAACTCCTGTTCCCCGGTTAAATTGCCTGGAAATGTATAATTTAATACGTTTCAAATCGGTCCATGAATGCTCGTTTTGTTCGAATTCAAGTCACCTTTGATCCTTAATCAATGTTATTGCGCGTTGATTAACGCGTTTAATGTAAACTGATTTCATCCTGTTACGTGCAGAATATTTACGATATTCTGCGTATGTGGCTTCACGCGCTATTTCGTCCTTTGGAACAAGATGACGTTTAATTCGTTCGGCTCGTACAATCCGGTAATTGAATAAATGTTACTGTACGTAATAATTGCGAAATGAAACGCGACATGAATTGTGGATTAACAGTGCCCGTAACAAATCTTGGAAGCCTGTTCCCGTTAATAGACCGAAGGTTTCATTGCACCCTTAAAAAAAGTAAAACAAACAACACACGCGTGAATATCGACAAGTTCAAAGAAACGTCGAATTTTCGATACGATCGGACAGGTGTTTCTACAGTTTTACCTTGACGGACGGCAGAAATCTGAATAGCAGGTGAAAGGATCGAATGCGCTCATAGGAATAGGGTATGCAACCAATTATAACCACACCCATGGCCGATCGAAATACACCGTGCAACGAAATTATGACATAAACAACGAGACAACAGTTAAGACTAATTAATCATATTACTTGGTTCACGGTAAACAACGACTACAAACGAAACGATCTCGCCGTTCAACCGCTCCATACAAATGCTGGTAAATTATTTTTTATTTCTCTATTCGCCGAGAGAACGAAGCGTAGGTAGAATCGGAATTGGATAAAATCAAACAGCCTGTAAAATTCTGTCTCGCATTGGGATGCATGAGATCGCGACTAAGAAAAGGAGGATGAGGAAATACGAATGTCAACAGAATTGTAAAAAGACACAGGCGGCGCAAACAAGAATATCGCCCGAGCACCTGGAATGCGTAATTCAAGACAAACACGCGAAATGCGTCGCGCGAGGTAGTAAACGAGAAGGATCGATTAACGGGCAAGGAATCCTGGCTACGCGGCATCTGGAAACGTTAAGAGCGTGTTTATCTCGGTGTGGCGCGCGTAAATGATAATTTATTGGACGACACGGAGTAAAGATTCAAGACTCGTCTCGAAAAGGGCGCGAACGATAAACTGGAAGGGGGCTTGCTCGATGGACCGACTCCGTGCTCCGGAAATACCGTGGGGCGTAATCGCGGCCTCGCGCGCGGCTTTCAACGGGAAAATGGCAGGGGAGTGCTTGTGAACGATCACGGCCACCCCGGCGAACGTTCGGGGACCCGTGAACCTTTGAATTCCTCGAACGGTCATTAGGACAAAAGTATACCTGTGTCTACGATCCTGCATAGACCTGTTGTCCTCGGACAATGCTCGGCCCGACAAGTGTTTTCGTATCTGATTGACCCATCTTTGGACGGAACGCTCCGACAAACGGCTAATTTTTCTTCCAGCTAACGACCGTCGTATACCTGACGTATCCTCCTCCTCTGCCGCTCTTGGTCGATCTTTCTTTCTCTCTCTCTCTCTCTCTTTCCCGCACTCACACGTACACGCACACATTCGTACATCTTCTTTGTCTTTCCGATTTTGTCTCGTTCTTGCTCCGAGAAACAATCCCGCAGGACTGCGGAGTCACGCGTGCTCGCCGGGAACGAGTTCTCTCTTCGATCTCCTACACGGACCACTGTTCTCGTCCTCTTTAATCTCGACTTCCTCGCTTTCGCCCGTTAATATCTAATTATTTCGCTCCGACACGTGAAAAGGGGATGGCCGCGTTCGACCTGTTGCCTGTATTTTTGCATCTACCGCCGTCCACCGGGGGCTCTCGACGTTTTCGATCTCTGTGGCGAAAATGTGGTGGTTCCGGTACCCATTTCGCGCGCAGATTTAACCGATCCGTATCGACTCCGATGATCGAACACGTTAGAAGCAACCAGTTGGTAGCGATACGGATTCGACCGCGAGAAACGGGTTCCAGGGAGTCGTCGTGTCCGGCGGTACGAAAAAAATTCTCGGTATACGCCCGAGATATGACGGAAGCAGCTAAATACTTAAACGCTCGAAACTCCAGGCTTAAATGCCGTTGATTGCAGTAGGAGGGAAATGAGAGGTTGCACGACGGACTCGTGTCTCGTAGCTGCGAGCACTGTTAAAGGCGGCAGCGCGTACCGGTTCGAGTCCTTCCTCGAATCGACCGAATAGATCGCGCTCTCCATTCGATCGAGCTCATGCTCGCGCGGCCTGATTCCTGATTCGAAAGCTTCCTCTCGGCTCGATTGTTCTCACGGTTGTGTCTTCGCGACGATCTTCGTTCGTTTCGTGGTCGCGCGTTCAAATCTTTGTATGTGCCTATATATCTTCGATGCTCGTTAATTGGAGGAAGGAAGTCGAGAAGTCGGCGACTAACAGAAATCGTTTGACGAAGAAGTCGGGTGAGGCGTTCAGACACGCCGTGCGTGATTTCTTCTCGCCGGTTTCGAATTTTCGCTAAATTACCATCGTAAGTTCGGTTGTAAACGACCTCTTTAGGATCTATCTACGATGGATCTTTGGCAGGAGACAAACATTCGAGTCGCTCCCGGCGAGAAGGTCGAAAGAGATCGGGCGAATGGGTCTTCGCTGTTTCGTCGCCGTACCTGCGATATCGTTGCCCCGGTTCACCGATGTTATCGATACTAACAACGATCGTGCTCTCGAAGGCACGAGCACGTTACTCCGGCGTCGGCTGCAAGGGATGACCGGCCGAAGGATACGCGGTGGAAAAGGAAACCGAGGAGGAAGGGTCCAAAGCCGCGGTAGGGACACTGGAGAGGAGTTAGGGAGTCAGAGAAACGGGTGAAGGGCAGCCGGGAGTCGAAGAAAAGGGGAGGGAGGGGTCGTCGTGAGGAGGAGAGGCAACGGGACAGGTAAAACAAAAAGTTGGGAAAAAATTGAAAACCAGTCTCGCTCGGTTGGTAGTTCGTGCACAGTCTAGCAGACTGCGAACAGGCTCGCTCTCTTCTCTCCTTTTCCACTACCATCGCTATCAGCAACCACCACCACCAGCGTGTTCGGCAACGACTTACGGTAACAACTACGCCAGCGGCTGCGGCGGCTGCACCACCACCACAACCACCGCCACCTCCTCCGCCACCACCACCACCA